TTTACTCCCTCTTTTTTTCATTCACTTGTTCGCCATTCACAAGGTCATCGCTAGTTCAAACGTTCTTATATGACGCGAAACCACCGGTACTGACGTAACCATGCAGGAGCGACCCACTGCAAGAGTCAATGTCAAGGCCGAGCCTAGTGACACGTATAGGTTTCGTAACGCAACGAAATTCTGCTCTGTCACTACATAAAAAAGCAGATCGAATGAATCGCGATATTTTTTTTTTGTATTCTGATCGCTGGCCTCTCTAATATTAATTAGTCGAATACAAAACAAATTAGTAGATAATCAAGCAATTAATTAATACAAAATTTCCATTTCCTCCTCGTATATTGGGGGTGCATTGAATATGATGGCTGAATCTGATTAATGTAAAGCTGAAATTTGAAACATTTTGGAATTACCGTGGCTATCACTGTCAATCTTGTTACATCATTCACATGTTTCACGTTTTGATATCCGATCCCTTCAACGATGGATATCTGTGGTATCTGTTGATTATCATGATCATGATGATTATAATTACATTATCTTCGATCTTCCTGCAACCCTCATATATTATTTGAGTTAGCGGCAGGATTAAATCGTAACGATAAGACTATTTCGATTAAATCACAGACTAAACGCAAAATACGATTATCGTTATATTTATTAATTACATTTGATACATCAGCCATTTAGTAATGTCATTTTGAATCTATCACAGGTGTGACAATAGAAGGAACTCGTTACAGTCCGACGATGAAAAATTGTAAATGAAACAATAAGTCGACGGTCTATAAATACGTGAAGGTATGAATATTGATATCCGATATCACAATGAAGCTGCGTTCCATATGGATTTCAATTGCGACGCGTTCCTTTCACTCGCGTCTTTCTATTGTTGCGTTGGGACGATTTTAGAAAATCGTAATAGGTTTAATTTTAAAGGACACCGACAGATCCCGAGAGACAGTGATCTTCACTTGTCCCAATTCGCCCTGCCCAAGCCAAGTTTGCGTTCGGCGCCAAACATTTATAGGCGCTGCAGCCGATTTTCATAAATCTTCCCGCGTTACCAGGGAACTTGAGAATGCGAAGATTCTTGAACTTCCGGCTTTCATACGTTTCAATGTTTATCAACCTATAACTATAATTCTATCAACTTGATCGACTTTAAATGATTGCTGGATACATCACGGTAATACGATTCAATCGATCAATCATAATTCATATTTTACGCAATAAGTTTGCACTAGTAGCGGCTATAGAAAACAAAAATTACTATGCAAATCTTATTTTCATGGAGAAGAAACTTTTTGGAAGGCTTCTGGTTCGAAAGGCCGGTTACGTTTTCTTGCTTCATGCGAACTTGGAAATAACAGACTTCGGGGATGAACTCGGTGAGACTCGAGGCCTTGAACTGATCGGGCAGCTTATGAGTTGAGTTAAAATTATGATGAGAAATTGCGCCAGAAATATCCGCAATTGAGAAACAAGCGATATCGCGAATGGATAACACTTTATGCATAATATTGTTTAGATAATTCTATGTTCCTTGTAGTGTGAACTTTGTTCTTTAACAATATAACCTCTGGAGGAACTTCCAGGTACCATTTTTTAGATATTATTGTATAACATAGTCATTTAAAAATTTAACACATTTTTATTATAAATATATTTTCGAAAAATGGTACTTTTAGTATTAGGTACCATTTTTTAGATATTGTTTTATACAGTTATTTAACAATTTAACACACTTTGATTATGAATAGTATATTTTAAGTTATATTTGATTTTTCAAAATTGAAATTAAACGATTTTTACAATTGTCTAATTTTGAAAGTGATGTAATTTCATTTGCAGCCCGTAAGTATATATCAATTTAGTAAAATACGCCTAAAACAAATTTATATAAACAAATTACATATTGATAAAACAGTAGAAACATTGCCAGACTTCATATAATTTGCCTAAATTTTTTAATTAACAGATATGTTAACCTTTAATTTTCTCGAAACAAGAGAAAATGGACTTACACCACTTTCAAAATAAACGGTCCATATATACATATAAGTAGTGACCCGGGTCCAGGTCTATACAACGCGTAGTCACGGCCCTGCATAGCTGTGGCCGGCGAGCGATGGCCGTGTGGCGCGAAAGTTCCGTTCGCGGACATTTTCTTACCCTGTCCCAAAGAAAAACCGATGTCACGCTTCCCACGGGGGGGTTCCTCTTCAGAAATGTCTGCAGAATCCAATGGTGCACAGCAAATTCGTGCTGGCCAACCCACTTTTCGTAGAAATGTAACAGAAGTGCATACAAAGTACGCGCATCTACCTTTTTTTAAACTTCGATCACCGTTTACAAATATTTAATGATACGCAAAATTCAAAATTTGTATAGCTACGTGATCGGGCAAGTCTCTTTTATTTTTTGCGACAAATTTTAACTGCTTATCATTTTTAGTTTTCGCGTAATACTTGGTTTTCTGAAAAATTCGACCGTTCTTACAAAATCCCAGTTTTTTCGAAAACTGGACCTGACCCAGCAATTTGGTTTTCGGATTCGTATTTAGGGTAAAGAACTCTATAAGAATTACATAGTGGCTATTGCAAAAACTACCATAGGTCAAAATTTGTTCCACAGTGTTATCAACGAAAACGAAGAGAATGACGCCGCAATAATTCGAGCCGCGTGAGTTACAGGCGATAGGCTTCATCAATTTTAGCTGTCCTACACAGACATCGGCGCCCGGGTCTATTTACATAGATTATCCCGTCCTCTAAATATAATCTAGATCTTACATTTCTCCTCGAGCAATGTCTGCCTTTATATCAGACCTAATAATATCGCTAGAATTTCACTAAAGTTGAATCTTTAAAATCCCGGGTCAAGACAGACCCGAGCACCGCGGGTGGGGACACCAATCATGATCCGATAAAATGGCACCCCCCTTTGTTCACGGTGATCACTTTTTGCATTGTACGCGCAAACGAGGAACGATTGATGCAAGGTACTTGGTCGTGTTTCCTGGCTTTTATGAAAGGCTGTCAATGTGTCTGGGTATCTTTACGCGGTTGGCGCTTACGTCAAGGTCGACCTCGACTTTCCACCGTTTCTAATCTGTACAAGAATCGGTCGAGACAAGCATTTCGTTTCAACTGTGTGCAGGTTGACATTGTCTCAAGACTTTATAATCTATTTACGATCTGCTGGATGCACATATACGCAGATATCGATTTTTAGGGAAAATTAGTAGGAACCGGAGCAAAATGGGTATCTGTTCATTTCAGTGAGTTCGATCGGATTTCAAAGAAATTTGGAAACTTCGTTAACCGTCATCAAATAATGTGTTTTGAAAATATATTTGATGTATTTTTATATAGTTTTATAGGCAATTATAACGTAACTAGAATAGCTGCGTGAATTCCATTTTCTATTTATACCATGGAACATTGATCGGTTTTTAAATTACTCTTAATTACGTATACGTGTTCTTAAACACACACAGTCAGCCGAATGGTTCCTTGTTTGCTGAAAACACGAGAGATGCCTGATTGATTTTGCTTATGTTAAAGCCGACCGACTACTATTACCGTAGCGACCCTGACTTTCTAAAAGCAGGAACAACTTTTTCGTTGCAACATTATGAAATCCGACGATCCGAAGATATTTCATCTGTTATTCAGAAATTAATTCGTTCAATCTATATTCCAATTAATTCATGATCATCGGTGCGCATCTAAAAGCTAAAGCATCAGTGTATCAACCTCTATTAAAAACTTACGCAATTCGTATTCCGGGTACCATATGGTTAATTTCAAGTGGCGATATTCGATTTCTATTTTTACCGAAGAAAACAAAACTCTTTTCAAAAGTTTTGCTGCAAAATTGTGCCATCGTTCCCATTCAAATTCCTTCGTTCAAAACGTGACCGATATCGTTGCTCGTCTGCTGTTGTATTCTATTC